TGATTTGTTTGATGTTAAAGAATAAATTTAAATTTTTCCTACTACTCTACTCTACTTTACTTTACTCTACGTTCACGTTGAAGAAGAATAAGTAATACAAAAATATTCATTATCTACTTTTAGGTGCCGTATTTAAAACGACTCGAATCAATGTGCGCCCGATCATCAGCAAATTAATGAAATTTTACAAAAATTTCCATTTACACACAATTCTACCCGTTGCAAGGCAAATCGGGCATCGTCGGTATGACACTGGCTCTCTGGTTATTGCTAATCTTGTTAATTCCAACAGAGTGTTATGAACGGAGACCGTTCAACACGCACGATTAAGTGTTAAAAATGCCACGAGCTATTGATGAAAATACAACAACAACTATCCTATCCTATATAAGGACGTTACGGGTATGCCAAAATAATAATAATGATGACGACGACGATGATGATGATAACGGTTTAAAAACAATAATAACAATAACAACAACAACAATAGTATAATAACAACGTGTGATATTTTGTTAACATATACGAGTAGGAGTCAAACAATTATGGATCAAAAAAAAAATATGTTGTATTTGTTTTTTTATAGTATTCTCTGGAGCGCCTACGATCTTCAGGAGCGAAATAGCAAGTCAGAGTAGAAGAGGGTATGTATTTATTCAGTTGATAGCAATTCGCCATAATATGTAAGTGATAAGCAAAGAGATACAAAAAATGTGATTAAAATATTTCTCAGCGCCCTTCACAAGTCCATTGTCCATCAAATTCATTTTATTGATCATTGACATGAGAAGATTAATAATTCAATTCCCGAGCTTAGAGCTTTTTATCCTCACCTCGTAAACATATACATACCTATGCATTAATCTGAATAAACATGAAATATATATATATATATATTGTGTGTGTGGGCGAAATTGTATATGCTTACGTATATATGCATATAGATACGTAGTATCAATACACACATGAACGCATGGATCTTCAAACGGATTGAATAACAAAACAAATGAGAAAATTATATTCGGTCGTGACCGAATCTTTTATATTCACTACGATTATCCTAAAAAAGGCGAGAAAAGTAAAAGAACTAAACTTTCATCCTCTCTAATATGGAATGGGCGTGGAAAATAAAAGTTTTCAAAATTAAAGTTTTTTTCGCATAGTTGTTGTGGGCGTTCTAGCCGTATCCTTGGAAAGGTTTAAGTTACTTCCAAATTTAGGTGATATCTTCATTTTCACTAACGGGAGAATGTTTATCACGGTTACTGGGCAGTAACACAGATAGACAGATGGACAGACGAATACTAGGTGCATTCGAAATTTGCAATGGACCAAGAAATTATATACTTTATGGGGCTTTTTGAAGCTTATTTCTGTGCCTTAGAAAGGTATTGGAAAAAAAAATTAAACTTTGGTACATCATAATATAGGGCGTGGTACAAATGTGCGCAAATGATACAACAGCGCCCATACATGCGTATGCGTTCAAATTTTTGTACATAAGTTTTCATTCTTTTTGAAAAACCGAGGTGTTCTCAGTTGACATGGCATGGTGGGCGTGTCCTTCAACCTTCGATACCAACAAGCGTGCAAAAATTTTTAATGTTTTTGCCGAATTTTGCCGAAGTCGATAGCTTTATGTCGGCGGCCGAGAGAATATTTACAGCAAACATTATATAGACGGACAGATACACAGACGGAAGACCCTGAATATATACACTTTGTGGAATCGCTGATGCTTTCTTCTGGACGTTGCAAACGCTTTGACAAAATGAATATACCTCCGATCCTTCGGCGAAGGGGAAAAGCAACGATTGTTATGTGAAGAATATGGCAAAAATATGGTGTAAGGTGCGCGCCTGCACTGAGCTGTTATCGAGTTCACAAATGTCATGGGAAGAAATACGTGTTTGGAAATTAATGGCAGTCAATGCTCGCAGCTCCTCTCACAAATTTCATGAAAATTAATTTGCGTTGAGTGCAAGCGGAAGACCCTTTACAAGTTATCCGAATACTAGCATTTAAGTCAGCTATTGCTGTTACCCTTATGGCCAAAATTTGCTTAAAAAAAAAAAAAAAAAAAAAAAAAATGAGATAGTTTTAAATGGCTACATATGCCGTGGATCCAAATGCGAAGCAAATGCTTTAACAAGTCTCATTAATGATGGACGGAGCCAAAGGGGAGAGCAGTGAATACTCGCAATCGATACCAGTGTTGCAATATCGATGCATATTAGTTCTTGTGTGGATATAAGGCGGATATACAACAGGTGAACTTTCCATTTGGAATGAAAACGTTGACCTTCAATAAATTCTACTAACGGTAGACTGAATCCAACAAAACTCGACTTAGTTTTAATTAAAAAAAAAAAAAATATATATATATATATATATATATATATATAAATATATAAAAAAGGAAAGAAAAAAAAGCAAAAAAGAAAAAGCAGCACATGTTTGGAAAAACTGTGTCAATGTGTCTGCGGCATAGATAGATATATGTGCATACTATGTATGCCTATCCATTCCAGACTGTCATGGCAACCAGCAGCAACCTTAGCTTTGTTATGAATGTAGATCAAGTGGAAACTTTACTTTCGAATTAACCGCACGGCAAAGCATTCTGGCCATGTTCCATGAATCGTTACAAACGGACATGAACGGAGGGAAACGTTCTAACGGAGATGCAGATATTACAACTGCCTGCTGAATGCATACCCGTTTCAATGTAAAACATGAAACCTTTATTGTTCGTTCGTTCGTTCGTTTGTTTGTTTGTTCGTTTATTCGTTTATTCACTACAAAAGAGCGAATAAATAAAAAACTTGAGTAACAAACACACAGTGTAGCGAATAGAAAAAAAAAAAAAAAAAAAAAAAAAAAAATTAAGGAAAAAATAAAAGCCAAACTCTCTATTAGTGAGGGTTTTGCGAACAATAGCATTTACACTGAGCTGAGCATTGGATGTGTTAAAGGAAAAGTTCGCATTTATGCATATATTGTTTGTGTGTGAAAAGTCTGGCAACGAGCGCTTGCCAAAACGTAGTGGTAGCGTTATGCTGGTGGTGTACAGTCATGATGCAGGTTGGATTCCTAACTTTAACGCTAAACTGTGTCAGACGGTGAGCCACAATGCAGCTAAATGCCTAAGAGCCACTGAAAGTGCGACATTGAATGTCACGGCCAAAGTTACAATCAGATCCATTCAACGACTCTTTGCAAAAGTGAAACGTTGCATGTGTTTACAAATGCATGTTTGGTTCGAATCGTTGCAGCGAAATGTTTTACAATACTTAATATGACATACATACACACACACATACACACACACACACACACACACACACACGCTTGTACAAACATATACACATGTATATATATGCTATACATAAATGTAATGCATATATATATATCTATCTATATATATATATATATATATATATAAGTTAATGGGTATGCGGCGCAATTCAATGAATGGTTATTTCAATCATGCACTTGCTTAGACAGAAAGTTACTCTTAGAGGCTGACAGTGACGGACAGAGAAAGGTAAAGCGAGAGGCAACAACACAGTAATAACATAACGACATCATCATCATCATCATCATCATTATAATCATCATCGTCAAAATCTCACCATCAGAGTATCGTCACTATCAGGAGAGTAACAAGCCGTGCACACCGACAACGACGCTTAGTTCGGTTTCATTTTTATTTTTATTTTTATTTTTTTTGTTTCCTTAAAAGTCTCTAGCAGTCGTCATTGTGCAATATTTGCCTTTAAACGCAATTCAGTCAGACGCAGTCAGTTAGTTGTGCGGCTATAGAATTCTTTTCGAACGCGAAACGTGGATGCTGTTGCATGAATGAAAACTCATCTAAAAAAATCCCGAAACGAATAACTTTGTAAAATATGAACAACTATGAAGGGTACGCAGCTTTTCTTCCGCAGTTGCTTTTCTATTTTTCTATTATTTTTTTTTTTTTTTTGATTATAGTTTTTTTCATGCAAAGAGGAGACATTCGCTCAGCACTGGGAAGCCGGCGTTCACGTTGCCAAATCAACAACATGTTGCATTCGTTGCACATGGCGGTTTCAGATATTGTCACATAAAGCAACAATTACCCACATACATGCATATCCTGCTCTATTCCTATTCTATACGCACAGCGTGGCCTTTTCATATGCAGTGCATACACTTATGTGCGTTCACATTCACAATAAACTATTTTTTCTTTATTTGTTTATTTATTTATTTATTTTCTTTCTTTTTTTTTTTTTTTGTTGTTTTCTATGCAGGCAATCGCGTGGTGTTTGGAAATGAACCGTCACATTGGCACGCGTTTCACATAGTCTACCAACTCATAACGTCACACATTCGTTCGCATTTCACATAAAAACTTACAGATTTTTATTGTTACGTGTTACGTTTTATATTATTTGGACTGCGAGCTCAAAACTAACAGAACGCAACAATGCCATAAAAATGTTGTTATGTTGTTCGCACACAAATTGATTCCGGCTAACATTACTACAACTGTTACGATTACTACTATTCCTATGACGGTACACATATATACAAACTGTGGGGTAAACGGGGAGCAATAAGTGA